TCTCTCTCTCTCTCTCTCTCTCTCTCTCTCTCTCTCTCTCTCTCTCTCTCTCGCTCTGTCGCTCTGTCGCTCTCTCTCTCTCTCTCTCTCTCTCTCTCTCTCTCTCTCTCTCTCTCTCTCTCTCTCTCTCTCTCTCTCTCTCTCTCTCTCTCTCTCTCTCTCTTTCTCTCTCTCTCTCTCTCTTTCTGAGGGAGAGGGAGAGAGAGAGAGCCTCACACAGCAATAAGACATGTCTCATTGGTATGGCGGTCAGGAGGGCTGCTTCCGTGAAATATAATAATTATTATTAGTGCGTGATGCTAAAAATGTGAGTGAAATTGGATTGCCGCAGCCTGAGAGAGCTTTTGAAGCTTTGATAATCACTTTGAACTGCTTTCAATGTTGCTCTAATCCCTTCAATTTTCATCCTCTTCGATTCTCCGGAGCACAGCATATTGTAATATCACACCACCCGTAGCTTTTGTGCCCGCAAAGACCATGGAATAGTGAACGGCATTGTGGCCCGTCTAGAATGGGCTGGAATTGATCTGAAGATGTGATGAGCGCAAAGAAGCTAAAATTTAGTAGTGTGTCGGTCGTATAATACACCCTTTGTACAATAACGGTCACGTGATCCGAGACGGGGCATCCTCTTCGATTTTTGTGCAGAGTATCAGTTGAGCATGGTGGAACACTGTATTTTTCCATTTTGGAGATGGAGGAGAGAGTGTTGAGTGGTTTGCCATCGATGGCTGTGGAACCCGTGGACGAACTGTCAAATGAAGATCGGTTGTGTAAGGAACTGAACAGTTTTCTGCTGAATGAGGGTGCATATCTGTCTGGAAAATGAAGGAGTTGTTGGAGCGGTAAGATTTCCGCGTTCAGTGGATATTTCGGATTACTGTAGATTGAAATTTATTTTATTTTCTCTACCTTCTCTCCTCGTCGATGTAGAGAACATTTCTCTATGCAGAACCCTGATGCTCCTAGAACTAAGAAGGGCACCAGTTCCTCGAGTGTACCTTCATCATGCCCAACATTTCATGCGTCCCAGTGGATGAGTGATGAACCTCTGTTTCCCAGAGTGAGTGCCACACCATGCTTGCTCGTCTCCAACGCAGGGGCAAGTCGCCGACGACAGTGAAGAGGGAGCTGATGGAGTAGTACTAGTGAACAAGCCCGTGGATAGTGTCCACGAGTTTTACTTTGGTGGCTATGTGCATAATGTGAAAGTCTGTCATATCGTGCATACAGCCACAGCTCGAACTCAGATGACTTTCTCCGCACACCTGAGCGATGAGGCTGCGTCTCTCTCCACTTCAACATCAGCAGCTCGAGCAGCGCCAGCAAGCATTTGATCTTCCAATAGCGAAGACAGGGATGGGTGACCTGTCATGCCTTTTTCTCAAGCTCCAGAGTCTCTTGGCAGGGCGTTCCATATCTTCGCAAAAGCAAGGATGAAAGTCGTCATGGACAAAGTGTTCCGAGCACAACACTGTGAACGATATCGCAGCACTGCGGCCTTCTTATCGCCAGATAGCCAGGATTCCAGAGTGTGGAATGCCAGCATCACCAGGGAACGCATGGAAAGACAAGTGGGTTCCTTAGACTAACGTTAGGGATGACGGTTACTGCAAACAAGAACCCAACAGTGGTCCTTGGAAAGCATTTCGGAACTTCTTCCTTCAGAACTAAAAAAACTTCAAATGAAAAAGGCTGGGAAGTACATACATGAACATCGCGTCTGGACCGTGAAAACACAGCCTGTCACAGGAAACTTGATCACGTCCTGCAGCAAACCATGCATGCTGGTTGCATGCCAAGTGTGCAGCGCATGCACAGCATGCCCCGTCTCGACCCCTCTCGCTTATTGCGCAAAGGGTCGTATATAGTCTTCATTGCTGAGGAAAGTTATCATGAGTGCATAGAATATAATTGATGCAGACATGGCCAGACAACGAGTTAAAAAATCAATTTCTGCATTCTGGTCTTCAGTGAATTGTATCGGAACTGAGGGTAAGGTATACGAAAAGAACATTCTAAAAATAACTGCATAAAAGAGTGTGAACAAAGGAAGTGCTAAAGCATTCCATTAACATAATATGCATCAGACAAAGTGCTAAAATATATTCTACTACTAGCTGAGTGCAAACACAAAGCATTGGGTGATACAGTGCCAAATAACACTTCGGGCATGTTTGGTTGGTACAACCTAGAACAGGATTCACCAGAACAGCGCGTTTGGTTGGGACTGCACCTGTTCTGGGTCGGCCAGAACGTGTTCTGCTTGCTCCGGCCTCGAGGCCGGGGCAGACCGAGCAGTTTCACTTTTCACAGTGAAACCTGGCGGGGACATCGGTTTTGGTCCTAAATGATCACGTGCATACGCTTTTGGGTTGGACTCGTCGTACCGTACACAGTGACCATGGTGACCCATACACATTTCGAAGAATGCACCAAGGGCGGGTTTGGTTGGTACGACCTAGAACAGGATTCACCAGAACAGCGCGTTTGGTTGGTTCTGCACCTATTCGGGGTCGGCCAGAACGTGTTCTGCTTGCTCCGGCCTCGAGGCCGGAGCAGACCGAGCAGTTTCACTTTTTCACAGTGAAACCTGGCGGGAACATCGATTTTGGTCCTAAATGATCACGTGCATACGCTTTTGGGTTGAACTCGTCGTACCGTACAAAGTGAACATGGTGTGATCCATACACATTTTTGAAGAATGCACCAAGTTTGGCATATTTTTTAACAAGAATGTGCTCTGTTTCTGGAGTACCGTTTGGTTGGCATGATGCTGGTCCATGTGCACCAGTTGTTCTATCCTGTTCTAGATCGTACCAACCAAACGCACCCTAAGTTCACATCTGATAACCAGCTATGAGAACAATTTAACGCGACTACATGCTTCTTTTGTTTTCAAAGGATGGGCCACAGTCACCCTCACTGGAGAGGAATACCTTTCCGAAATGGCAGTCATCCCTGATGATACCTCAAAGTTCTCAAAATTAGGCCCAGTCGCGACGGATGAAAACACTGTAAATGTAGAGAAGAACCTGGCTACATATCTGAGACGACTAATAGTCGACAAGGAAAATACCAATGGCAAGTTTCTAAAAATCAAGCCAATGGGTTCCATATAAAATTACTTTATCCACGCCGACTCTTTAAAGTTATCATGTACTGTCTTTTGTGTCTGTGAAAGTTTCAGACAGGTAGCCAGGGAAGGGGAGGGGGTCAGAGGGTGCGGGCGATCCACCCCCCCCCCCCACCCTTCTGCCTACGGCCTTGAATAATTGAAAAAAAAACCAACAACCCTCTTTTAGATAAGATTGCACGACACTGACCGATGGTACTGACGTTCTACAACTAACTGGCTAACAGCTCTAGCACATCTTGGATGCGCACTCCGGTGTCGTGCAATGTTATCGCATGAGCTGATTGTTTAGTAACTGGTGGTGTTAGTGGACATTATAGTGTAGCTTGTAGTTCCTTGGTCCTTTTTACTTTTTATAAATTAATAATCCTTGGCTCTCCATCCGAGTTCCTCTTTTAGATATGGAAGGATAAACTCGGATTGAGAGCCAATTTATAGTAAAGAAAAGGACCAAGGGACTACAAGTTACGCTATACTGTCCACTACTTACACTACCGGTTACTTGACAATAAGCTCATGCGATAACATTGCACAAAACTGACCGACAGTACTGACGTTCTACAACTAACTGGTTATAAGCTCTAGCGCGTTTGGGTTGCGCACTCCAACAGCCTTCCAACTTGGAAGGTTCTTAGTTATATGAAAACATAGCAGGGGAAGTTGAGCGCAACCAAGACAAGCATAAGCTAAACGTCGGAGCTGTGAAGGACGTTGGCGGATATTCATGCATATCGACGTGCATGAACATCCGCCAACGTCCTTCACAGCTCCGACGTTCAGCTTGTGCTTGTCTTGGTTGCGCTCAACTTCTCCTCCTATGATTTCATATAGCTTAGAACCTTCCAAGTTGGAAGGCTGTTGGAGTGTGCACCCAAGACGTGCTAGAGCTTATAACCAGTTAGTTGTAGAACGTCAGTACTGTCGGTCAGTTTTGTGCAATGTAATCGCATGAGCTTATTGTCAAGTAACCGGTAGTGTTAGTGGACATTCATAGCCAGCAATCGCATGTCATCTCGTACATTGAAAATCAACATAATTTTGCGAATCGACCTTTTTTCAGGATCACTTTTCAACGAGGACGAAGCAAAGTCGGCCGAACGAAGCCTAGTGGAAGAAAATCACCCTCTCCACTTCACCATCACGATACTGACATAGATACGAGATGAAACAACTAAAAAATTCACAAGAAAACTGTACGACCATCATCGCGCTGACTTTGGTCTGACTTTGGTCTGAGAATTTCTATCACGATCAAAAATGTACGAGGAGCACTCAAAAATCAGCCACAGACGTACCTTTATCGCTCTCTACTCCTTTTTCAAGGCACAAAAGTCGACTCTCCACTTTCAAACCAGGAATCAGACATACCAGTGGTCCTTTTCAGCTGCTCCACGAGCGCAGGAAATGTTCACCAAGGGGCGCAGAGCAGCATCCATTCCAGAAAAATAGCTAAAATACGAGTGAGACTGCATGCCTGAGTACATGAGTACATGTATGAGCACATGCAGAAAATAGTAAATTTCAGCGTTTCTGCTCTAAACAGCAACCAGCTTCGACTAGAAACAAAGATTACACCAAAGGATCAAACAACAACGATTTTCTGCAGTTTTTTTGCAGTTGGCTTCCTTGTGCTTGGCCCAGCACGCCAAAAATCACACCTCGGAGGAGTACAAAAATTACAACTCTCAGATGTCCTTGATTGCTGGCCATGATAGCGTAACTTGTAGTTCCTTGGTCCTTTTCTTTTAGACATGTACATGTCTGGCCAGGTGGCGCATTGTACATCGTATACACGTACCCATGCGGGCCACGATCCTGATCTTCAATGGCTGTAATTTGAGGTTCTTTGATGATTGTTGTTTAGAATGTGCAGGACGATTGCGCTGAGCAGCGGTTGGATGCCATGGAGGGTAGGTTACAGGCCTTGGAACGGACAAGAGATGCCGAGCCAGTCGGATCTGAGGTGCTGGACCGAAATCAGCTGCTGGATCGGCTGGCTGCCTTTGAGCGGCAGCTGGAGCGAGTGACCATGATCGCGGATCGCACGGTATCAATGGACGAGAGACTAAGTAAGGCAGTCGCCAGTCTGACCCACACTGCTGAACAGGTTAGCTAAGTGAGAAGTCTTTATGTTGAGATGTCTTGCCGTAAGTTTTATTCCCATGAATAAAAGCCTAGGATTTAGTGCATGAAATGCAAGCTGAAGTGTACAGTCAGACCTCGTTTAAACGCACACATCAGTTTTCAACAAAGATATCCGGATAGGCCAGGGAACCGGATAATCGAACACACATGCTGTATGTATGCATGACATATGCTGGAAATCGGTAACATACGATTTCCTTCCGGATTGCGAGGGACCCGGATAAAAGAGGACGGGATAAGCGAGGTCTGACTATACCTCTTTAGTCTGCCAAGGATCAGTGCAGTAGGAGAGTGGAATAATTCATGTACTCTCGTTTGCAGCTCCGTGGTATATGCCGCACCGGGGTATATGCCGCACCGCAGTATATGCCGCACCGGAATTTATGCCGCACCGGGGTATATGCAGCACTGGAGTATATGTCGCACCGGGGTATATGCCACACTGGCGAAGTATATGCCTCACCGGGGTATATGCAGCACTGGAGTATATGTCGCACCGGGGTATATGCCTCACCGGAGTATATGTCGCACCGGGGTATATGCCACATTGGCGAAGTATATGCCTCACCGGGGCATATGCCGCACTGGGGTTATTGCCGCACCGGGGTATATGCCGCACCGGGGTATATGCCGCACCGGGGTATATGCTGCGCCGGGGTATACGCCGCACCGGCGCATATGCCGCACCGGGGTATATGCCGCACCGGGGTATATGCCGCGCCGGGGTATACGCCGCACCGGGGCGTATGCCGCACCGGGGCATATGCAGCACCGGGGTGTATACCACACCGGAGTATATGCCGACCGGGGTTTTGCCTAAGACTGTAAGTGTATATGGAGTGAGGTATAACAGGGTATATGCCGCACTGGCGGAGTATATACCTCACCGGGGCATATGCCACACTGGGGTATATGCCGCACCGAGGTATATGCCGGACCTGTGTATATGCCGCACTTGGGTATATGCCACACTGGCGGAGTATATGCCTCACCGGGGCATATGCCGCACTGGGGTATACGCCGCACAGGGGTATATGCCGCACCGGAGTATATGCCGCACCGGGGTATATGCCGCACCAGGGTATATGCAGAACCCCGGGTATACGCCGCACCGGGGTATATGCCGCACCGGAATATATGCCGCACCGGAGTATATGCCGCACTGGGGTATATGCCGCACCGGGGTATATGGCGCACCGGATTATATGCCGCACCGGGGTATATGCCGCACCGTGGTGTATGCCGCACTGGGGTATATGCCGCACTGGCGGGCTATATGCCACACCGGGGTATATGCCGGACCGGAGCATATGCCGCACCGGGGTATATGCCGCACTGGTGTATATGCGACAAATTTCTGTTGCTCAAATCGTTTAGCAAGTCCTTTCTGTACATTAAAGATCGGGTATAACGACCTCGAAAAATAACGACCGATCGATTTTACTGACAATTTTTGGTACCCGAAGACCTGAAAATGCATTGAATATAACGACTTTCCTCTTGTACCAGGCGGAGTGGTATGCATGGGACATGTCTGTGTCACTGTCACATGCCCGGACCTCTGGGTCACTCCACGCGTGCTGGTAGCCGCAGTGTTGTTGTTGTTGTGTTTATTTTAATTCGCAAACCAACGGGCTGATCTGCCCAATGAAAAGGTGGCGAATGCAGATAGAAAGCAGTAATAAATGAAATTGGGGAGGGATGTAATAAGGATAGAGGTGGAGAAAAACTAAGCCAGCTGATCATCAAACAGGACGTTTGGTACTCTAGGAGTGCAGCGCGTGGTGTAGTTGCTATGTATGACCTTTGGCTTGAACTATGCATGCAAAACACATGCACATGCACGTCTGAAATCCATATGCATTATTATGCACATGCACACCTGCAATACATTTCTGTCATTTTCATATGCACACTACATGTAAATGTGAAGATCGGGTTTAGTGACAGATTGAATTTGGCGATATTTTGTTTTCTCCCGAAGGAGTGTTGCTATATCCGATCTCCACTGTATACGTCCTTATTGGACGGGGGTCATTCTCAAGGACGTAAGTATACGTCCTTAGCGGTGAAAGTGTTAAACAAAATTGTTCCAAACTAACCCATATTTCATGCTGGCGAAAATCACAAATGAAATATTGGTGTGGCTTTAGTTTGGCCGCACCTGCTGTCGCATCGGTACGGACCCCGCTGTCAAACCTTCCCTGAGCCTGCACCTGCTGCCGCATCGGTACGGACCCCGCTGTCAAACCTTCCCTGAGCCTGCAGCTGCTGTCGCATCGGTACGGACCCCGCTGTGAAACCTTCCCTGAGCCTGCAGCTGGGATCATGTTAGACTAGAGAGCTCAGTTACTGTATTGAGATGGTCATCTAATGCAGATGACCTTTGTACCCGGTATCAGTGTATAGTAGGTGCATTTGCAGGTCTGGGATATCACAGCGCCCTGTATCAGTGCACATCTGAGTGCTTGCAGGTCTGGGATATCACAGCGCCCTGCATCAGTGCACATCTGAGTGCTTGCAGGTCTGGGATATCACAGCGCCCTGTATCAGTGCACATCTGTGTGCTTGCAGGTCTGGAGCCGCACCATACCCAGCAATAACCCCAAGCGATAGGATATTATTGAGCAGTAATGTATTTAGATCTCCGCTCCACTGCTGGATCTTCGGCTTATTCCCTGGCAAAGGACTGGGAAGGAGCACATATTTCTCTCTCTCTCTCTCTCTCTCTCTCTCTCTCTCTCTCTCTCTCTCTCTCTCTCTCTCTCTCTCTCTCTCTCTCTCTCTCTCTCTCTCTCTCTCTCCCTCTCTTTCTGAGGGAGAGGGAGAGAGAGAGAGAGAGAGAGAGAGAGAGCCTCACACAGCAATGAGACATGTCTCATTGGTATGGCGGTCAGGAGGGCTGCTTCCGTGAAATATATAATAATTATTATTAGTGTGTGATGCTAAAAATGTGAGTGAAATTGGATTGCCGCAGCCTGAGAGAGCTTTTGAAGTTTTGATAGTCACTTTGAACTGCTTTCAATGTTGCTCTAATCCCTTCAATTTTCATCTTCTTCGATTCTCCGGAGCACAGCATATTGTGATATCACACCACCCGTAGCTTTTGTGCCTGCAAAGACCATGGAATAGTGAACGACATTGTGGCCCGTCTAGAATGGGCTGGAATTGATCTGAAGATGTGATGAGCGCAAAGAAGCTACATTTTAGTAGTGTGTCGGTCGTATATAGTCTTCATTGCTGAGGAAAATTATCATGAGTGCATAGAATATAATTGATGCAGACGTGGCCAGACAACAAGTTAAAAAATCAATTTGTGCATTCTGGTCTTCAGTGAATTGTATCGGAACTGAGGGCAAGGTATACGAAAAGAACATTCTAAAAATAACTGCATAAAAAAGTGTGAACAAAGGAAGTGCAAAAGCATTCCATTAACATAATATGCATCAGACATAGTGCTAAAATATATTCTACTACTAGCTGAGTGCAAACACAAAGCATTGGGTGATACAGTGACAAATAACACTTAGGGCACGTTCGGTTGGTACGACCTAGAACAGGATTCACCAGCACAGCGCGTTTGGTTAGGACTGCACCTGTTCTGGGTCGGCCAGAACATGTTCTGCTTGCTCCGGCCTCGAGGCCGGAGCAGACCGAGCAGTTTCACTTTTTCACAGTGAAACCTAGCGGGAACACCGATTTTGGTCCCAAATGATCACGTGCATACGCTTTTGGGTTGGACTCGTCGTACCGTACACAGTGACCATGGTGACCCATACACATTTCGAAGAATGCACCAAGGGCGGGTTTGGTTGGTACAACCTAGAACAGGATTCACCAGAACAGCGCGTTTGGTTGGGACTGCACCTGTTCTGGGTCGGCCAGAACGTGTTCTGCTTGCTCCGGCCTCGAGGCCGGAGCAGACCGAGCAGTTTCACTTTTTCACAGTGAAACCTAGCGGGAACACCGATTTTGGTCCTAAATGATCACGTGCATATGCTTTTGGGTTGAACCCGTCGTACCGTACAAAGTGACCATGGTGATCCATACACATTTTTGAAGAATGCACCAAGTTTGGCATATTTGTAACAAAAATGTGCTCTGTTTCTGGAGTACCGTTTGGTTTGCATGAGGCTGGTCCATGTGCACCAGCTGTTCGATCCTGTTCTAGATCGTACCAACCAAACGCACCCTAAGTTCACATCTGATAACCAGCTATGAGAACAACTTTAACGCGACTACATGCTTCTTTTGTTTTCAAAGGATGTGCCACAGTCACCCTCACTGGAGAGGAATACCTTTCCGAAATGGCAGTCATCCCTGATGATACCTCAAAGTTCTCAAAATGAGGCCCAGTTGCGACAGATGAAAACACTGTAAATGTAGAGAAGAACCTGGCTACATATCTGAGACGACTAATAGTCGACAAGGAAAATACCAATGGCAAGTTTCTAAAAATCAAGCCAATGGGTTCCATATAAAATTACTTTATCCACGCCGACACAGTACACGAGTTATCATGTACTGTGTTTTGTGTCTGTGAAAGTCTCAGACAGGTAGCCAGGGGAGGGGGTCAGAGGGTGCGGGCGACCACCCCCCTTCTGCCTACGGCCTTGAATAATTGAAAAAAACAACAACCCAACAACCCTCTTTTAGATAAGATTGCACGACACTGACCGATGGTACTGACGTTCTACAACTAACTGGCTAACAGCTCTAGCACATCTTGGATGCGCACTCCAGTGTCGTGCTATGTTATCGCATGAGCTGATTGTTTAGTAACTGGTGGTGTTAGTGGACATTATAGCGTAACTTGTAGGTCCTTGGTCCTTTTCTTTTAGATATTTACATGCCTGGCCAGGTGGCGCATTGTACATCGTATACACGTACCCATGCGGGCCACGATCCTGGTCTTCAATGGCTGTAATTTGAGGTTCTTTGATGCTTGTTGTTTAGAATGTGCAGGACGATCGCGCTGAGCAGCGGTTTGATGCCATGGAGGGTAGGTTACAGGCCTTGGAACGGACAAGAGATGCCGAGCCAGTCGGATCTGAGATGCCGGACCGAAATCAGCTGCTGGATCGGCTGGCTGCCATGGAGCGGCAGCTGGAGCAAGTGACCATGATCGCGGATCGCACGGTATCAATGGACGAGAGACTAAGTAAGGCAGTCGCCAGTCTGACCCACACTGCTGAACAGGTTAGCTAAGTGAGAAGTCTTTATGTTGAGATGTCTTGCCGTAAGTTTTATTCCCATGAATAAAAGCCTAGGATTTAGTGCATGAAATGCAAGCTGAAGTGTACAGTCAGACCTCGTTTAAACGCACACATCAGTTTTCAACAAAGATATCCGGATAGGCGAGGGAACCGGATAATCGAACACACATGCTGTATGTATGCATGACATATGCTGTAAATCGATAACTAACGATTTTCTTCCGGATTGCGAGGGACCCGGATAAAAGAGGACGGGATAAGCGAGGTCTGACTATACCTCTTTAGTCTGCCAAGGATCAGTGCAGTAGGAGAGTGAAATAATTCATGTCCTCTCGTTTGCAGCTCCGTGGTATATGAAGCACCAGGGTATATGCCGCATCGGGGTATATGCCGCACCGGGGTATATGCCACGCTGGCGGAGTATATGCCTCACCGGGCCATATGCCACACTGGGGTATATGCCGCACCGGGGTATATGACGCACCGGAGTATATGCCGCACCAGGGTATTATGCCTCACAGGAGTATATGCCGCACCGGGGTATATGCCGCACCGGGGTATATGCCGCACCAAAGTATATGCCGCACTGGCGGGGTATATGCCGCACCAGGGTATATGCAGAACCCCGAGTATATGCCGCACCGGAGTATATGCAGCACCGGAGTATATGCCTCACCGGAGTATATGCCGCACTGGGGTATATGCCGCACCGGGGTATATGCCGCACAGGAGTATATGCCGCACCCTGGTATATGCCGCACCGGGGTATATGCCGCACTGGGGTATATGCCGCACTGGGGTATATGCCGCACCGGGGTATATGCCGCAACGTGGTATATGCCGCACCGGGGTGTATGCCGCACCGTGGTATATGCCGCACTGGCGGGGTATATGCCGCACTGGCAGGGTATATGCCGCATCGGAGTATATGCCTCACCGGAGTATATGCCGCACTGGGGTATATGCCGCACCGGGGTATATGCCGCACCGGGGTATATGCCGCACCGGGGTATATGCCGCACCGGAGTATATGCCGCACCGTGGTATATGCCGCACCCTGGTATATGCCGCACCGGGGTATATGCCGCACCGGGGTATATGCCGCACCGTGGTATATGCCGCACTGGCGGGGTATATGCCGCACCGGGGTATATGCCGCATCGGGGTATATGCCGCATCGGGGTATATGCCGCACCGGGGTATATGCCCTACTGGGGTATATGCTGCACCGTGGTATATGCCGCCCCGGAATATATGCCGCACCGGAATATATGCTGCACCGGGATATATGCCGCACCGGGGTATATGCCGCACTGGCGGGGTATATGCCGCACCGGGGTATATGCCGCACCAGGGTATATGCCTCACCGGGGTATATGCCTCACCGGAGTATATGCCGCACCGGAATATATGCCGCACCGGAATATATGCTGCACCGGGATATATGCCGCACCGGGATATATGCCGCACTGGGGTATATGCCGCACTGGGGTATATGCCGCACCGGAGTATATGCCGCACCGGAATATATGCCGCACCGGAATATATGCCGCACCGGGGTATATTCCGCACTGGCGGGGTTAATGCCGCACCGGGGTATATGCCTCACCGGGGTATATGCCGCACCGGAGTATATGCCGCACCGGAATATATGCCGCACCGGAATATATGCCGCACCGGGATATATTCCGCACCGGGATATATGCCGCACCGGGGTATATGCCGCACTGGGGTATATGCCGCACTGGGGTATATGCCGCACCGGGGTATATGCCGCACCGGGCTATATGCCGCACCGGGGTATATGCCGCACCGGGGTATATGCCGCACCGGGGTATATGCTGCACAGTGGTATATGCCGCACCGGAATATATGCTGCACCGGGATATATGCCGCACCGGGGTATATGCCGCACTGGCGGGGTATATGCCGCACCGGGGTATATGCCGCACCGGGGTATATGCCGCACCGGGGTATATGCCGCACCGGGGTCTATGCCTCACCGGGGTATATGCCTCACCGGAGTATATGCCGCACTGGAATATATGCTGCACCGGGATATATGCCGCACCGGGATATATGCCGCACCGGGATATATGCCGCACTGGAGTATATGCTGCACTGGGGTATATGCCGCACCGGAGTATATGCCACACCGGAATATATGCCGCACCGAAATATATGCCGCACCGGGATATATTCCGCACCGGGATATATGCCGCACTGGGGTATATGCCGCACTGGGGTATATGCCGCACTGGGGTATATGCCGCACCGGGGTATATGCTGCACCGGGGTATATGCCGCAAAGGGGTATATGCCGCACCGGGGTATATGCCGCACCGGGATATATTCCGCACCGCACTATATGCCGCACTGGGGCATATGCCGCACCGGAATATATGCTGCACTGGGGTATATGCTGCACTGGGGTATATGCTGCACTGGGGTATATGCCGCACCGGAGTATATGCCGCACTGTGGTATATGCCGCACCCTGGTATATGCCGCACCGGGGTATATGCCGCACCGGGGTATATGCCGCACCGTGGTATATGCCGCACTGGCGGGGTATATGCCGCACCGGGGTATATGCCGCATCGGGGTATATGCCGCACCGGGGTATATGCCGCACCGGGGTATATGCTGCACCGTGGTATATGCCGCACCGGAATATATGCCGCACCGGAATATATGCTGCACCGGGATATATGCCGCACCGGGGTATATGCCGCACTGGCGGGGTATATGCCGCACCGGGGTATATGCCGCGCCGGGGTATATGCCGCACCAGGGTATATGCCTCACCGGGGTATATGCCTCACCGGAGTATATGCCGCACTGGAATATATGCCGCACCGGAATATATGCTGCACCGGGGTATATGCCGCACCGGGATATATGCCGCACTGGGGTATATGCCGCACTGGGGTATATGCCGCACCGGAGTATATGCCGCACCGGAATATATGCCGCACCGGAATATATGCCGCACCGGGGTATATTCCGCACTGGCGGGTATATGCCGTACCGGGGTATATGCCTCACCGGGGTATATGCCGCACCGGAGTATATGCCGCACCGGAATATATGCCGCACCGGAATATATGCCGCACCGGGATATATTCCGCACCGGGATATATGCCGCACCGGGGTATATGCAGCACTGGGGTATATGCCGCACTGGGGTATATGCCGCACCGGGGTATATGCCGCACCGGGCTATATGCCGCACCGGGGTATATGCCGCACCGGGGTATATGCCGCACCGGGGTATATGCTGCACCGTGGTATATGCCGCACCGGAATATATGTTGCACCGGAATATATGCTGCACCGGGATATATGCCGCACCGGGGTATATGCCGCACTGGCGGGGTATATGCCGCACCGGGGTATATGCCGCACCGGGGTCTATGCCTCACCGGGGTATATGCCTCACCGGAGTATATGCCGCACTGGAATATATGCTGCACCGGGATATATGCCGCACCGGGATATATGCCGCACTGGGGTATATGCTGCACTGGGGTATATGCCGCACCGGAGTATATGCCGCACCGGAATATATGACGCACCGGAATATATGCCGCACCGGGATATATTCCGCACCGGGATATATGCCGCACTGGGGTATATGCCGCACTGGGGTATATGCCGCACCGGGGTATATGCTGCACCGGGGTATATGCCGCAAAGGGGTATATGCCGCACCGGGGTATATACCGCACCGGGATATATTCCGCACCGCACTATATGCCGCACTGGGGTATATGCCGCACCGGAATATATGCTGCACTGGGGTATATGCTGCACTGGGGTATATGCCGCACCGGAATATATGCTGCACTGGGGTATATGCTGGACTGGGGTATATGCTGCACTGGGGTATATGCTGCACTGGGGGTATATGCTGCACTGGGGTATATGCTGCACTGGGGTATATGCCGCACCGGGGTATATACCGCACCGGGATATATTCCGCACCGCACTATATGCCGCACTGGGGTATATGCCGCACCGGAATATATGCTGCACTGGGGTATATGCTGCACTGGGGTATATGCCGCACCGGAATATATGCTGCACTGGGGTATATGCTGCACTGGGGTATATGCTGCACTGGGGTATATGCTGCACTGGGGTATATGCTGCACTGGGGTATATGCTGCACTGGGGTGTATGCTGCACTGGGGTATATGCTGCACTGGGGTATATGCTGCACTGGGGTATATGCTGCACTGGGGTGTATGCTGCACTGGGGTATATGCTGCACTGGGGTATATGCTGCACTGGGGTATATGCTGCACTGGGGTATATGCTGCACTGGGGTATATGCTGCACTGGGGTATATGCTGCACTGGGGTATATGCTGCACTGGGGTATATGCTGCACTGGGGTATATGCTGCACTGGGGTATATGCTGCACTGGGGTATATGCTGCACTGGGGTATATGCTGCACTGGGGTATATGCTGCACTGGGGTGTATGCTGCACTGGCGGGGTATACTGTAAAACAGGTAACGTTTGCGACAATAAATGTTTGCGTTTTACAAATTGAGACTGGTTTGCGCTGTTTAATGTTTGCGAGTCGTTCTACACAGTCGAGTCAGTCCTTGCACTGAACTTTACATGGCGCGAGTTTGCGTTGTTCAATGTTTGCGATTCAGGGCCTCTTGCAAAATACGCAAACATTTTTACGTCACAATAGTTACCCGTTTTACAGTATGCCACACCGGGGTATATGCCGCACTGGCGGGGAATATGCCGACCCGGGGTATATGCCGACCCGGGGTATATGCCGTACTGGCGGGGTATATGCCGACCCGGGGTATATGCTGCACTGGGGTATATGCCGCACCGGGGTATTTGCCGCACCGGGGTATTTGCCGCACCGGATTATATGCCGCACTGGCGGGTTATATGCCACAACGGGGTATATGCCGCAACGGGGTATATGCCTCACCGGGATATATGCCTCAC